AGAGACGCATGTGTGTTTTGGTTTATCAAAACCCAGAAAATCTATAAGGTCCGCTTTAGAAAGGTCAAGAAAGGCACTTCGTGAGGAATGTATCTTATCTCAATAACCTTCGACAGATTTCTATTATGATTATCAACAAGTTGATACAGGAGATTGATTTCATCGAAAGCTACAAACTAAATCCAGAATAAAAAAAAAACCAACAAGAAGATACATGAAGATACAGGAACAGGCAAGCAAAGACCGAGATAGATAGTGTGACTCGATGTTTTGAGGGAGTGTGCGCTACGTTACCAATTATTTGTCCATAAAAATGTAATAATAAACGGTACAGTTTACATCAGATGCGTTAGACATTATCAACCCTGTTTTTCACTGACTTCTACCTAACTGAAATTTGTCTAACATTTGCTACTACAGTGAGCTATCTGACCTTTTTAATGATGGGTGACTTTGCTTTTGTATGCAAGAAAAATTAAAGAATACCAGGAGTAACAAGAAACACGACTGAAAATTAATAACGCATACAAATGTATATTAAAAAGCATCACAAGTGACATAACCGGCATAGCTGCAGTGTGCCACACTGCATTCCTGTCTCACCCGGTAAGACAGGAATGCAAAACAACGCTGCCGAGTTGTTTCAAAACGAATGAGTTCGAACCTTCATAGAACTAGGCTTTAGGGAATGATTTGAATTCATTGAATCAGAGTTTCGCGGTAGTTATTTGTAATGTACCTCCATAGACGCCTGTCCTCTTGTTTCTCATGGTCATCACAGATAGGGTATAAATCCACCATAGTAAGCTCATGGTTGCCTCAACTAATCCTTCAATTTGTAATCTATTGAGGTAATAAAGCAACGAAGTCTACCTAATTAAGCGATGAAAATTTTTCCTTCCTCCTTCCCGTACAAAAAGTTGGTTGATGAACTCGAATTCAAGCCAGCTCAGTTATCAAGTAACGGTTTGAACGTCACTGAGTAAATGAAAGTCACTCTAAAGAGTCAACAAACGCAATCCTTGATTCGTACGTGTGCAAAGTTCATTGGGAAATACATTGCAGTTGGAATGTGAGAGCATTCACCTTTTACGATCGTCCTACTTTAAAGGTACATAGTTGATTAATCCGCCAAAAAGCAAAATAGGGCAGTACCTTAGTCATTCACCACCTACTAGAATGGTTAAGGACAAAACAATGGGAAAAGCAGGACAATGCAAAGTTTTTGCCTCGAAATTTGCGTGTGTAATCAAATGGTTACCTTTTAATAGCGTGGATGGCAAATGAAATTCACAACCGTAATTGTTTTTACTGGTTTATTCTATCGAAGACCGAGAACATGAAGAAGAATGTGGTTTTCGTTTAAACACGAAGACGCGCTATGTAAGGAAGTCTTCCCTGGGAAGACCTCATTTGCTCATTTGTAACTCACCGTTGACGTGTGCGAGTCAAATTCAAATGCTGGTAGACGAACAAAAGGAGCTAATGAGATATCTATCGTTTACTTCCACCTGCATGGTGGCATGAGGTAACGTGCGAACCACCTACTTCGATCTCAAATTTGCCGCCACAAATAAAGACAGTTTTCATTGGAGAAAGGAAATACAAATCTTAAAAATTCTTGTATTGTGATGAAGACATAACAAAATTTTTAGGAATGCGCCCGCTGTTCACTCCTTTGGAGTAGCTGTAGCTCAAGCTGACTTCACTCTAAGAGTTCTACATCACACGACGGTTGATTGACAAATGGTCCAGTGGGACATAAGGCTCCTTTTATAGCGCGCCTTCGTGTTTAAAGCATACATTATTGTTAAAGTTCGTAATTTTCTGAGTTTCCTCACAAAAGTAGCTTTCGAATTCTTCGTGCCTGCTAATAATGTTCCAAATGTTTTCAAATGTTTGTTAAATCTCGAAGCCATCTTGGCTCTGATCGAGATACAAGAGATGTTACCATGGCAATTTTGTAATTACACATGTGAAATTACAAAATTAAGGAGTAATTTGTCACTTATGATATTAAGTGGCTAACCTGGATCAATATTCCGTCTGTTACACCATAAAAAAACTTTAAGAAAGCTGTTAAGAATCAGACAATTAAGACGCCAGGTAAATGTTAATTTCCTACTCCGTTATTTTCGCGTATAAAAGTGCAACATGCTTCGGATGGTGCCCAGGCGTGCTAAGTAAACATGGTCGTATGCATCCAAATGCACCGAATTTGATGGTTTAACATATAATATTCGCGGATATCTTGCAAATTGTGTAGTGTTTGGGGGACACGAAAAATACATTTTCAGTAAAATAGTTTGCAAAATACATCCTACGACCTTAATTGTGTATCGTATCGATTGCATATGGATTACGCTCTTTCTCGTTGATGTAACTGGGTTGACAAAGATAAAGTAAAGAACGTGAAAACTGATAATTTTTCTGCTTTACTCACTAAATTCCAAAAAAAAGTTACATCATCACCTCTAAAGCCAATGTGTGCCTTAATTTACTTTCATTCAGCAAAGTTATTAATACAATCGATGTTGTTAGTTTTTCTTTCCTTTGTGTAGTGTTACACGATAGACTTAGAAACTTGTCCCACACATCCTACCTACTTGAATAGTTCTAATTGATTAATAATATTTGCAGTTCCTACTTTTAATTTTCACTCGCATTCCAGTGATTTAAAGCTAATTATTATTTTTTCATTCTTTTTGTCATTAAATGGATATCCGTTATATCTTTAGGTAACAAGCCATTTTACGAGTGGCTAATTATACCCCATGATATTGGTAGTTTCTCTTTGGTTTGTGTAGGGTTATGTGAACTTTTAAGAGGCTGTCTGCATAGGAAACGACTACAGAATTCCCTCAAGATTTTACTGTGATATATTTGATCTATTCTGTCAGCATAAATTGTATTTATTTGGTTCGTAAAGCTATTTTATCAAATACGTGGCGACGAGGTGAGAGGACGGACAAAAACAAGGAAATTGTTCATTTCAGGGTCAATTTTCAGCGTTTCGCTGGAGGCTCTAAAAACTTACACATTCCTTCAAGTTACATAAATCGGACATGTGGTATCATTTTACATCTCTTCTTTTGATTAATAACAAAATATGTAAATTCTGACCAAACAATTAAGAACTGCGCTGTTTTGAAAATACCACACAAACAGCACTTTCGAAATTTGAGCGAGTGTGCTGTTGTTCCAAGACGCTTTTCTCAAAAGTATAACGGGATTTGGAGTCCTCGCCACTATCCGTGTGTAGTACTAGGGCTATTGTACTAAAAACCAACACAAATATTTTTGGCAACTGGTCTTTGCGAGCTAAAGGAGCTGATGAACTTTACTCATTGTTTTCTGCAATAGTACGTGAAGTGCAAATGGCTTAATTTATGTATAATAGTGTTACTCCATTTCTCGCTTGGAGTCAATATCAATTTGAGGCAGTGCCTATTTTCAAAATTAGCACGGTGGTTTTGTTAAGGTGAAGATGTCAATAAATTCATTCAAACTTGCCCCAAATCTATTAATTACGAAGGTACAAATGAACATCTGTGTGACATTACGTTCAACTGTCTCGTCTTGACCGCTGTCTTATGCTGTTCAGGCGGCATACTTAAGCCGAGCTGAATCGAATTCAACTTTAGGCCGACCTAAATTATTCAATCCTGGCTAATTTGAGTCAGACGCCGAACTTATCTCGGCCGAAATTAATTAACTGAAGAAAATCTGTCACCGGGGCCGGCGCAATTCAGAGTTAGATATTTGATCAGCGTTACAATAAACGAATGTTATTTGTATAGTAAGGTCGTTCTAAGGAAGTTATATAAGTATTTTATTTGGTCACTTCTATGAAGAAGTATTTAAATGAAGTGCGGCATTTGATCAGTAAATGTTTCGGCGCAACCAAATACACCTGCTTGAAATATGAAATTTTATTATGCAATCACTGTTCAAATTTTGAAGAAAAACAAAGATTATCATGCTAGTAAAAGCGTCGCTTTTTGTAAGCGATACACAAAAGAGGCGGGGAAGGACGTTGCTGACGTAGAGGACAACTACATAAAGCCCAAACAACCGACAGAGCGACCAATCAGTGTCAGTTCGAAAGGCGTAGAATAGGGCACCCATTCGATATCTGTCAGCATCGTTTTGCTCACCCTTTCAAGCCACCATTTTTTTCCTGCAACACTCCTTGAAAAATGCTTTCCTGTAAAAACGGCAAGAAAAATACATTAAAACAATTCATGCATTTGATTCGGCTAATGTGAAGTACGGCGTCTACAGCCGTTCTTCCCGACTAAGTCAGGCGGGATTAATTGACTGAGCCGATCTAAATTAAATCAGCCGTTGCGAATTGATTCAGACGCCGTACTTCACATGAACTGAATTCGTTGAATTCGGTTCGGTTTAGCTGAAGTATGCCGCCTGAACAGCATAAGACAGCGGTCAAGACGAGACAGTTGAACGTAATGTCACACAGATGTTCAATTTTACCTTCGTAATGAATAAATTTGGGGCAAGTTTGGATGAATTTATTGACATCGTCACCTTAACAAAACCACCGTACTAGTTTTGAAAATAGGCACTGCCTCAAATTAAACCGGGCCTCAGTAATTTACCCATAATGCTATAGAATTCGATTCTTTCGTTAATTTAAGCAAATTTTCCCGAGATGATGGTTGCGTCGTTTTATTCATTTATCTAGCTCGGTAAAGATTATGGGACCTATTATCAAGCTTGTGTTTCTGTTGGCGTTGGCATATATTGTCACAGAGAGTGTTGTGGACGCCTGTTGGTTTCACGGAGATTGTAGTCAGAGATCCAGCCGCCCAGTTTCCAGGTCCCCGCTCCCACCCTCACTCCCTCCTACCCGCCTCCCACCTTACCGACGTAGAAGAAGAAGAAGAAGACTTGGCGGGCCAGTACCTGGTAATTGCGATCTTTACTCTTAACTAATGCTTAATTTTCTTTTCTCCAATGCCACGTTGTCAAACAATACAGAATCGTCAAACAATAGTACTCAACCTTTTCGCACAACATCTAAATGACTCATGATTAAGAAAAAGAGAATGAATAAAAGCGAAAAAAAGAAAAACAACAACAACAACAAAAGCATAAAGAAGAACATCTTGTCATATTGTTAATAACGGCCCACGAACAGTAAACATATTTAAGAGCGTGTCCATGAGAAAAACGGGCAGGGGCCGATAAACCTCAGATCACCGATTTGGCTCAAACTTGGCACAAATGCTAAGTATCCTGAGTTGACATATTTGTAAAATTAATAGGTCAAAATATTTAATTCCCTAGGAGACATAGAGTCTCCCTAGCTGCGAAAAAATTCTCAAAAAGGGCTCAAATACCACTATTCAAAGATGCTCTCCTACTCTCTGGAAAGTTCCTTATGAATTTCAAGTTATTTTAAGTTAATTGAACAAAAATGTGGTGTACGGAATTTTGATGATATACTAAAAAGCGGGAGGTAGATGTAAAGTTCACGTCAGCACGGGTTATGAAATAAATTGCCCGAAAATTTTACGATTTTGAGCCAAAATCGGTGACTTGAGGTTTATTGCCCCTGCTCGGTTCTGTCCGGTTTTCTCGTAGGCACACTCTTAAACACGAGGATCGCTGTGTCACATTGCATGTAACAGCCAGGAACAAACATAGTTGGTAATAATTTCCTGTGTTACTCGGGGCGTGACAGGATTATTAGCTATACCAGTACCAGTAAAGTAGCCAATATGCTCGTTACATGTCCAATGTTCTCCTTTATTCACCTGTAAGATACAACATAAACGAAACAAAACAAAGGTAAGCGTATTGAAGCGAACTAGAATGAATTAAAGCGGTTGCTGAAGTCTGCAAAGCTTAATTGACACTGATTAACCTAACAATTATCCTGCCAACAGAAAACTCTTCAATGACAAATATTACGCGATACATTTGTACTTTCCAAGTACATTGTTTATGAAACTTCTGCTGATAAGTGGGGGAGTGTTTATGGTGGAGACCGAGGAATGAACACGGAATTAAATGTACCCTGACTTTATTTTCAGCTCAAAGACATGGCAAATGGGGATCATGGCAGCCAACCAATTGGGATTTGACTCCGTGTACCAATGGTTACCAGACCAGACACCGCTATTGTGACAGTCCATCCCCGGCCCACGGCGGAGCTTCTTGCAAGGGGTATAACTCACAGCAAAAGGACTGCGATGAATGTTCTCTTGGCTTAGCAGGATGTGAACATCTATGCGAAAATCTACATCCTCCCCAAATGTATAAGTGTCGCTGTCGTTACGGCTATAGACCTTCGCCAACAGATTCGAAAAGATGTGTTGGTAAGTCTCAGCATGACTGTCGCTATCGACATCAGCATCTCTACTCAATCGCCATCATTTAGCCCCGGGCCTCCACCTCCGTCATCTCACTTCACCACCACCTCACCATTCCCATTTTCACCTCTATGTCAAAGACCATCTCCCCTATCCATGCCTCTTCTTTCTCTCCTCTCCTCCATCTCCTTCCTCATCCCCCTTTTCCCTTCACCATCCCCCATTTCCTTCCCAATCCCTCATGCCCTTCCCCATTCTCCTTCCCTCATCCCCTTCTTCATCTCGCACCTACTTCCCCATCCCATTCCCCAACCCCTCACCTATCCCCTTCCCCATCCCCTTCCCCATCCTCTTCCCCATCCCCTTCCCCATCCCCTTCCTCATTTTCCAACCAATTTTTATCCCTATTCCTTTCCCCATAGTCTTTGCTATCCCCTCCCCACCCCTCAGCCACTTATCCTTACCCATTTCGCATTCCTTATCCTCCTCCCCATTCCCTATCTCCTCCCCCATTCCCATCCCTTACCCATCCCCCATCCCCTTCCCCATTCCTTATCCGTCATCACCTCCCTATTCCCCATCCGTCATCCCCTTTCCCATCCACCAACCCCTCCCATATCGCCATCCTCCATACCCTACCCATCCCAGATACCTTTCCTCGTAACCTTCCTCATCTCCCTCTTTCTCCCCATCTCCATCCCCATCCCCTTTCCTAACCCCTTTTGCTCTCCCCATGCCCATTCCCATCCCCTATGCCCATTCCCATCCTCCATCGCCTATCCATCCCAAACACGTTTTTCCATAATCTTCCCCATCTCTCATCTTCTTCCCCGTCCCTTCTCCATCCCCCTTTGCTTTCACCACGCCCTTCCCCATCCCCTTCCTTATTCCCTTTCCCATTCCCATCGCCATCCCCTTCCCCATTCCCATCCCCTTCCCCATCCCCTTCCTTATTCCCTTTCCCATTCCCATCGCTATCGCCATCCCCTTCCTCATTCCCATCTCATTTCCCATCCCCTTTCTCATCCCTCACTCCCTATCTCCCATCCCTCACCCATCCGTTCCCCATCCCCATCCTCATCCTCATGTCCATCCCCAGAACTCAGACCGAAATTGTTCGACAGAAAGTTGAATTACCCATTTTAACATCTAATTTGAAATTGCAGTGGCTTGAAATGTTTTTATTCTGTACAAATGTTTTGTCGATCCAGTAGTGAGCTGGTTTGTAGTAAGTTGCATAAGTTGTTATTTAATTTTCCTGTAATATGATTGCTTTCTTTGAAAAAGCAACCGATTAGGTTTTTTAGTAGAGCATCCTCTTGTCTGAAAAAAAAATTCGATTAAGAGCAAAAAAATGATGCGATTTGTAAATAAATGGCACCAACGAGAGTCTATCAGGTTACAAAGATCACCAGTAATTTGAAAATGGATGTAATAAATCAGAAAGGAGTCTTCATCAGGACTAAAATCATATGGAGCCTAGCTTCGAATCCGATATCCTAAAGATGAGATTCAGGATAAATGTCACTAAAATGAATCCTTTTTGTGTCTTTGTTTCAGTGCACAGTTGTCCACCTTTGATTCCACCACTGAACGGTGAAATCTTGCCCGTTAGTTGCAAAAACAGAACTATGCATAATCAAACGTGTGTTTACAAATGTAATCGTGGGTTTAAAGGGATAGGATTGAGCTCGAAAAGATGCGTAGGGGGAAACTGGCCGGAAGATGGATTTCACTGCCAAGGCAAGTGACTCATTCTTTTGCTATGATAATGTAGGCTTTATGCTGCCTTAAGCTATTTTTGACTTCAAGTGAAATACTTGTATGGAAAGTGATATGTTCTGAAATAAAACAAAAAAGGTAGTAACAAACTTGAAGGTTTCTTGGAGAGATTTCCTGATGTGTCATAAACTTTGACATGCTACCCATGTAAATATTATGGCCTATGGTGTTCAAATTCAAAGACAAAGCACAGGCAGCCCAAGCTCACTACTAGAAAAGCGGACGTGACTCTTACCATGTTGTGCAACGTTTTATATTTATAAAGGTTTGTATCGGATGTTATCGGTTTGCCTTCAAAGGGTGAAAAAAATGTCTTGTTTTGAAATAAAATAGGCTTACCTTAGTGCCTTGTTGTTAACTCGCCCAAAAGGCTTAAAAATGGCCTGAGACTGCTAGGAATCAACAAAGAAATCAACGTCCGCTTTTCTAGAAGTGAGCTTGGGCTGCCTGTGGACAAGGTACCGTTCACAAACGAATTTGCCGTCTCTTTGCCTGCCTAACAACTTGGTCTAAAACAAATTCTAAAGACAGCAAATCAATAAGTTTTTCAACGGCGCCCACTGATGTCCCCAAAGAATCTCACATGGAAGTTAAAGGCTCTCCTTTACGGAGAGGGTATATCTAGCCATAGATTCATCATTGCAGAGCTTACAGAGGCCATGAACAACTGCTTCCCTCAGCTCTTCAATTCTTCAGCTCCTCCCTGATGAAAAGATGCCTTAATAATGTAGACTTAAATCACTCACACAACCATTTGATTTACCCGAGTTTCCCTGGAGCCGCTATATCTCATACTTCCTCGACAACACAACTTCGTTGTATTTCTGATAACAGTAAATAGAGTTTCTGAATTAAAACCAAGTGATTTCTGACGCCAAATAGCATTATTTACGACAAATGTTTGGTTTTGTTTTTTGTCTTTCTTTTTGCCATTGGGTCAATTATTAATGCGATGTTCAAGTTTTCTTTGGATGGTTAATATGGATTTTTTATAAATATGAAAGTCAAACAATGTAGAATGTTTGAAATTTTGCTCTCTTTTCCTCATTTTGGTACTTTAGTTAGCGATTGTCGACCATTGCGAAAACCGGATAATGGTCAAATCTCTCCTTTGGTTTGCACAACAATGCCACTGCACAATCAGAATTGTTCCTACCAATGTAACAGAGGCTTCAGACCCATTGGATCAACAAATGTTATCTGTGAAGATGGACAATGGAACGCGACTGGATTTTATTGCAAAGGTAAGCATAATTACAAAGTTACTATTACAAAAGGTATTGAAATGATATCAACGTGTTACGTTGCAAATGAACCACAAAGTATTTCTAACTAATTCAAAATATCATTAGGGACCAATCATTATTCATCAACTTGAAGGGCAGGAATTTTTTAGACAATCACAAGGTTTTCAGGGGGAACTTACAGAGGGGGATCAGTCGTCGCCAAAAGAGTATGAAAGGGGGACATATATAAACATTGAGTGTTTACTCTATCCCATTCACACCTTCTCCCCTTCCGGCCTCTTCCCTTCGTTAGGATCTTGACTACACAGGCTACCGTGTTCTGTTCGGGCCAATGATTTATATTGCATTGATCCAATGCAGAAGACATGTATGATTTGAAGCTAAAATTTCGTAAGCAAAAAACATTTTCATATGAATTGAATTACGCAAAAATGTAACATGACACTTAACAGAATACAATCCCACTCAAGGTTGAAATGCTTTTCATATGCTTTAACTTTTTATCAAGATGTTGAGCCCCCTTCATTCGGAGACACTTGTCCATCTCCACAAAGTGTTATGGCAGACATAGGGACTACCTCAGCCAAAGTCAGCTGGGGACTTGTTAAAGTTACAGACAACAGTTACTCTAATACTGGCGTATTTGCGTCCCCTAAAGTTTCGTCTCCACACGTGTTTCAAGAAGGAAACCATACCGTGACCTACACTGCCACCGACACATCAGGAAATACCAATTCGTGTCATTTCAAAGTTACTGTGAAAGGTAAGAGCCGAACTAATTCTTGCTGTTGCATTTGAGCTCTATGCTCGCAAATGCCTCTCTGATACTTTTTGAAAGAAGCGACATTATAGGTCGGTCTATTTGGTTTATTTTTTTGTTACGTTGATGGCGTATCAGGAACGTTTGCTTATCTGTACTTTATATCCATTAAAAATGGCGTGACATGAATTTTGGTGACGGTGTTAATATCAACGCTCCAATATGATATTGCGGCACAATGAACCGTGTGATGAACAATCTCAAAGACTAGAGGCTTGAAATCAGATAACACCTGTAATCAAATAACACCTGCAGCTGTGAATCGTATGCTCAAAACAAGGCTTGATGTATTATGCAAGGAAAATACCAGCGATCGATAATCATATTGAAGAGAGGATCAACAAGAACCACAAATATAGCGGTCATTCTTGATTTAAGTTACACAACTCTAAGATAAAATACGGCTATGTAGGTCACTTAACTCGTGAGCATTATAGGCAAAACGTATATTTTACGTTGGATTGACCAGGCTGTTTCTTAAATTACTGTCTATTAATCATAGAAATATTTCATTACCACTGCTTTGGAACCGTCGTTCTGAATGGAACGTACGCTTTTTGGCATTTAATCATTTAATAATAAGTTCTTATATAGCGCATTAAAATTGAACTCTATGCGCTTTACAATTACAGTTAACAAAATTTCAATAAAAATCCTATACATGTAGTTTTCGCTACTCTATCTAAACTAATGAATTATTACGTGTTATACATATATTTGACAACGTACGATATCAAAAAAAAATCTGGTGGCTTAATTTTTGAAAAGATAAGTTTTAAATAAGCGTTTAAAGGAGTCAACAGATTCGGCATTTTTTATGCATTCAGGTAGTTGATTCCACAAATACGGTGCGGCGTAGGAGAATGCTCTTTGCCCATACGTTTTAGTTCGAATTGTTGGGACCTCAAGTAGAGGCATGTATGACAGAATGGGAGGATGTGCGTAGAGTTAAGCTTAAAGCTGACATACTGAAGTCATTTGGGATGACCAACTCAATTAGTGTAACGCTCGAGAGGCCTTTAAGTGGGGGCATTTTCGACTTGAGGTAGATTTCTCAGAAACTGTATGTAATCATTCCTTAGTGCTTCGATGTCCTGCACTCCTACCCCCTAAGAATGGCAAGCTGGAGAATGCGGCTTGTGGGAATGTTTATGGAAGAGTTTGTCGCTTAGCTTGTAGCAAGGGTTTTCAAATAAAGGGATCCGTCGAAAGAAAATGTGACAAGAAAAATGGAACAAATATCGTGCACTGGACAGGAAGTACAACTTCCTGTAAAGGTAAGAACCTTCCAACATGAAACTCTTCTATATCCGACTCATGCAACTGTCATTCCCTTACGCGAACTAAATTAGCTCTTTCGTATTTTTATCTGGTTGAGACCACATTCAAAAGGTTTCGGCGCACATTTAGCGTAGTAGTAAGAAAATTGTATTTGATGAGTAAAGTTGAATAACGAGGAAAAGGAAGACTCAAGCAATTCCGTAATGCCAAACACCGCTTTTCCAAATTACTTTTACTTAGTTTTCTGGCAAGATTCAAGGGTTTGCGTCGCTTGTTTAAAAACTAGTTCTAAAGTTCTTGAATGCCAAGATCGATCTTTGGCTAGAGCGCTGACGATGATGCTGACGATGACGATGACGATAAGGATATCGATGACGATGAAGATGGCGTCGAAGGTGACGATGATAACATTCATTTCCATTAGCGACATTTACAAATGTCTGATTAAGTTAAACTTTGTTGATCAAATTTTTAGAACGCTTTGCATTCCTCTTCTCGTGCCACCATACAGTACGCTTTAGCTTTACCCAAAAAAGCATGTGCACTGGGGCAATCTCATGGGGATGCTTCGCTGATAATTCATTTTGCACTGTTTCTAACGATCACAGGCTTCATGTTTCAAAACCTATTGGGTTAATAGGCAAAATATTGATTTCTTATTGTGGCGAGTGTTCAAAACCGACATAGCTAAGGGATGTAACATCGTAAATATTTTTTAAAGGAAATATTTACATACAGGTATGTATGACCTGTTACAGTCAGCTCGCGAGCTCACGGAAAGAACAAGTGATTTAAGAACGAGTCTAAGAATCAAACATCTTGGGAAATCAAAATTTTCAACCCACCTTTAAATTTTGCACGCAGCTAGGCACTCAGAGAGGATGCACAGAAATGCCCTTTTTTAAAAATTTCAGCACTCTTGTAGCCATGGTGACAACGGCTGGTTGTTCGAGGCCTGGGGCCTAATTTTCATACAAAAACATGGTAATACAAGTGTAACGTGTTAATTTCTCTATCTCAAGCTAAATACAACATTACAGATTGGTACTTCTAGCATACATAGTGACATCATTCGTCTTTACTTTGATGCATTCAATTTTCCCTGGGAGGAAATGAGAACACAGCAATAGATTATTTATCTTGGTACAGTTTCGGTAGTTTCTGCTGTAGGGTAAAACAGGGAAAACGTTTGTCTAAGTTTCTCCAAAAGTACACCGATTCTGGAAATGAAACTGCGCACTTAGTTTGTTATAATATTCTAGTTTTTAAATATGTATAAATCTATACGGGCCGGCCTCTACTTTTCATAGTGGCAATTCGCGAACGAAGCTTCAAAATCAGATATTACATAAGTTGGCATTGTTTACATCTAATGTTCTCTTCAACAAGTGTATCAGACAGATGAAAAGTGCAAGACTTTAAAAGAATGTTATCTTCCAAGTAATATCCCGAAGAGAAATCTCTCCTCTTGCCTTAATATTTTTAAAAAAAATTGAACAAACTTCATGGAGGATTACTTGACGTAACTACAAAAGTTTTCCTTAAATCGTGTGCATATCATCCAGATCTCGAGTACTGTACCCTCTTTCATGGGAATTTAAGCAATCCGAAATCCTCTGACGATACACCAGATTCGATATTTCAGCAGATTTCCGCGCATTCTCAGGTAAAAACAACCAAAATAAAAGAGAGGAAAACCTTGATTGAACGTTCGTAAACACCGATTTTTTTTTTTATAATTGAGGTGGACGGCCAGGCTCCCGTGAGGGCGGGGCAATGCCTGCCAACCGACACGTCTAATCCAACCAGAGGCGGGATTGCAATGCCTACGGGTTGGGTCCACCACAAAGCGAGTGTTACCAGACACCAACTTCGTTGGGGAATCGGACCCCACCTCACCGGAAACTAACACACTCGCTCCAAAAAACTGAACTCACTCACACATGAGACGATAATAACAAAAGAATGATAATTCTAGCCCCTGGCCAGCCAAAGGGTTGGCCACGAAAAAAAACAAAACAAGAATTATAGCCCCTAGCCAGCCAAGGGAAGGCACATGAACAAAAAAACAAAACGATAATGATAATCAGACGTGGAACGGGACACTAAAAAAACTGGACGGTACAAAGGCCCCTGTGCAGTACACCATTAAAGGAGACCCATCACAAGGGGCTACGTGGCGGACAAAACAAAAACACACTCACTCAGTTGGGATGAGATCAGTTAGATTGCGAAAACTAATGAAGTATTTACAACAGAAGCAACAACACCGTGGCCGCCCCACTGTCGGTGGAAGAAGTGTCGGCGCCTGTCTGACTTGAAGCATTTGAACGGTGTGGGAAGGTGAACCTTCAAACGTCACAGGATGTTAGCCATCACCGCCGCAGCGCCAGGACGGGTGTTACGAAAATGAAAGTCGTTCCAAGATTGCCAGACGCAGAACTTTGAGAGGTTAAGTAGGTATACAAAATACAAGGAGTGGCAATCAGCTCATCCGAGCTGAGGCCGAAAGGGACATGATGAAGTGACAGGACAGGAGACATGGGTGAGAAGACAAACATCTGGGACTAGAGCCAGGACAGAGTGCTTTGAACAAGAGGACAATAGAAGAATAGGTGCTCCAGCGTTACCACTGGGGCACGCAGAAGCAAGGTAGAGGGATTGGCAATCCGAACAAGGCGAGACCCTGGGCGGTGTACAGGACACCGCGTGTAATCTTCCAATTAGGGTTGATGACCGGGCGATCTATGCTGAAGAAGGACAGGGAGCGCCACCTGGCGGACCAATCCAGAGAGGGAAAAGTAACACTTAATTTATCCACACAATGCGTTTTGACCATGTTCTAGGAGAGCAAATGCAGGTAGCAGGACTTTGTGGACATGTCTGAGGCAGAGGTGCAGACATGCCCACAAGAACAACCAAAACCCAGACAATTCCCGGCGGTGGAGAAGGATCCATTTAGGCCCAGCCAGGCTAACAAAAGGGAACGGTTGGCAAAACCCTGGGGTCAAAACAGAAGGGACGAGAAAAAACGACTAGAGGAGAAACACCAAAGAGGGAGTAACCCCAGAAAGACAACATAACACCCCAGTAAGAAGGGGGAAAGACAAATCTCCTCACCCATTGACCAACAACAGTCCACACCCTATAACGGATATCAACAACAGAAAACCCACCGAAAAGAGGAGACTGTGTCACGGCAAAGCGAGACAGTTCCTTCCCCACGCATGTCAGCATGTGGACGAGTGACGCGAAATACCAAACCTGGGCAAGGGCCAGAGCATTGATGACTTGGGCCTTGCCACGAAAATACAGGGAACAAGAGCGCAAATATTTGAGAAAATGGTCCACCGCGTCAATCCGGGGACGCCAGTTGTCTTCGTGAAGGTTGCCGGGGCCGACGAACACGCTCAAGACCTTTAACTTAGTGAGCGACCAATCCGGCGCGACTGGAGGGTCCGTGCGCCCAAACCAGCGCCCAAGGCAGAGACCTTTAGGTTTCTCCCGGTTTAACTTGGCACCGGAGACCACCTCGAAGAGAGTGTAGGTCTCGAAGCAGGCCTTGATGGGAACGTCTGATGTCAGTATTAGGGACGTGTCATCGGCATACTGAGAGATGGGGAACAGCAAAGGGAAGCCAGTAAGGGAAAGACCAGGGATCAGGGGGTTGCGATGGATATTTGCCGCAAGCACCTCAGAGACTAAGACGTAGAGAAGAGGAGGCAGAGAGCAACCTGACGAACACCTCGGGATTGGTGAAAAAAGAAGGGAGACAGGTAGCCGTTAACATTAACTGAGCTTTGGACCCGAAAGTAGAAAAGATTTACCCATACAATGAAGGTGGGGCCGAAGCCCATAGCCGAAAAAGTGGATTTCATGAAAGCCCAGTCCACACGGTCAGCTGCTTTTTCTTGATCCAGTGACAGTATTGCCACTGGATCACCGGTGGTCGTTGCGTGACTGACGATGTCACGCAGAAGCGAGACATTTTCTTCGAAAAATCGGCCCGGCACACCACAATTCTGGTCTTTACTGACCACAAGATGTATTACTTTTACGAGTCGGCCAGCAATGGCCTGGGAGGCGATCTTGTAATCAACATTTAACATTGTGATTGGACGCCAGTTCATTGGGTCCAGGCGATCACTCTTCTTAAAGGACAAAGCGATGACTCCCCTGCGTTGGGAGAGGGCGAGGGAACCAGAACGGAGGCAGACGTTAAGAAGCGAAAATAAGTCCCGGCCTGATCCGGAGAAAGAGATGACGAAAGGATGGACAAGAGAGAAGACTGGACAAGGGGTCCGTAGGGTAGCAGAGAAAAGATCGAAATAGAAAGAATTGAGAGTAAGACACAAGTCCTCCGGGGAGGAGACAATGAGGCCTCCTCTCTCCCTGAACGCAGGGATCCATCGGTCCACAACTCGTTTCTTCTCCAATCGAAAATAGTACACCGAGGAGAGTTCCCCCTCCTCAATCCACCTTAGATCTACAAGAGATCGAAACGTGGGGTCCGTGAGCCGTTTTGCGGTCCTAGGCCGTGAGGGCTAAGAGAACTGACTGATACGGCGCCACGACTGAAGTCGACCCTGCGTCTATTTTGGCCCTCAGATGGCTGATTAGGTTGACAAGTGTATCTCTATTTTGTTTCTTGGCTGGAGACCTTGTCTTGCAATAATTGATAGTTAGCTCCTTTAAGGGGCTTTTACCGTCATCCCACCATTTTAGGACGGAGGAAAAGTCCCTTCTCGACGCACGCCAGGACTGCCAAAAATCGGAGACTAGTTTAACATACTCAGCATCCCTCAAGATGACCGTATTTAGCTTCCACAATCCGGGGCCAGGGGGAATGGAATCTGGGATGGAGAGTGAGGCGAGGAACCCACGATGGTCGGAAAAAGAGAAGGGGAGCACGGAACACGATGTGACAGATTACACCCAGAGGAATGAAATGCCGATGAGATCTATACTAGAAGCTAAGGTACCGTTCCATTTCGTC